TTCAAGAAGGCAAAGACCTAAAAGAACGTTGATTTTTACCAATCATGAGTTTGTGTAAATTTTAAATCTGATGATGGCGCTGTTGTCTCGCCGGAACGTAATGAAATGAACGATGTTTAAAATTAAACCCAGGAAAGATAAGAAGATCATAACAAGTACACGCAGTCAGGAAAATAAATCAGAATAAAAAAAAATTGGTAAAACAGCGATAAGCTGGTTTGGGAGGTTTTACAACATGTTACATCAGCCGAGCGATAACACACCTTCGTTGCCGACCAATGAGAAAAAAGCTTAAAGTCCACTAATTCGTCATCAAGCAGGAATACGGAAATCAGCGGATTGGACAATAAAATTCTCAGAGACGATTAACAAACCCGACCATTTGTTTGCTCGAAATTTACGTGCAGACTGCAAAATCGATTGCACCAAAATCCGCCTTGTTGGATGGCCAGCAAAGTGCACTTTGGGCCGTCTGAACATTTCCGCGATTTAAAATCAAGAGATTGTCCACATGCCGGTTGTGCCACATAAATTGATAACCTGTCCTGTTGACTTTGTACTTTGTGTAGCCACGACCTCGCTTTTAATGGGGATTTTGAAAGGATCAGAGTCTAACAGGCTGAAAATTGTCACAGATAAGGCATTCCGGTTTAAATCGAATTTGATTCATATCGAATCAATGCCCATAAAGTAATGGAACACAGTTTATTGAAACATTTTATACAACATTTCTGATGATGATTCTTTTCGATCTTGTTCGACTCTGAGGAAATTCGATGAAAGAGACTTGAGAATTAGGCAAATTAAAAAATATATTGCCAAAATCCTGATGACGGTGAAAATCGAAACGTGCAGGGCCATACATTTTGAAGGTGTGACCACGGCAGGGACGCCTTTGTCTCCACCGAACTGGACGAAATTAAATCAAACAAGCCGCCAGGCCCGGAAACGACAGAAATTRCCATATTAAATGCTAAAAGCCTGCTGAWGGCTCAAATTTGAAACSGGTTCTTTAGTCTCCTAAGTGTCTTCAGCGCAGAAGTCTAAATCTTTATTGGYTCTGATGAATAGCATGATGGGGAAAATTCGACTCCTTCACAGACCAAACCTGCTTTAATGAGCCTCAAATGCGMAATTAATGAATAAAGTGAGCACCTCAACCGCCTGCGGTTGTTTGCCCAGACACTCAAATCGGTGTAGCAAAACAATTACAGCTTTGCAAACGATTYGGATCGTTCTCAGCAACAAACATGCACTCAAATCCAGACGTTTCCAGTTCGCTTGAGCCAAAGTTCGAGACTTTTGTTCCCGATTCCGTTTCGCCTGTAAAGCAGGAGGCAAAAGCGTTTTTTATTGGTCGCTGATAAAGCGACTGAACCTTTGGACTGCGGATATCCAGATAATCGCTAAGAGTCAACAATTTTTTCTTGATCAACAGACCTTGATGTTGAAAAATCGATTTGGACATGGTTTTTGCGATATTTCAGCATACAAAAATGAAACAATGAAAAAGCGTTGAGCGGCATGACGCAAATTCCGCGAATATTGCAGGCGAATGCAACAAAGGCATTTGCCGCGATTGCATAAAAAATGCCAAGATTGCCAGATTTAGCGATGCAAAACCCTGGTTTTGTCCAGGACATTTACCAGCCTTGGCCATGGTGTTTGCATTTGCTTCTGTTATGCAATTTGCGAATCAGGAAGTGACTGGTGCTGACCACCAGGTTGCCCAAAAACGCGCTTGACCGCGACCGTGAAAATTATTTTCAATTCGCAATTGTTTACCAATAATCAAGTAAAACGTCGCAGACGTGATGCAACCAACTAGCAAGGGAAGTTTTTTCGATCCTCAATGTCAAGACTATGCCCAAGAGGGGGCCACTGATCAATGGTGCGCATTTGAACATTTTTTGCAAATTTCCTTGGCTAATCAGGATCGATTGATCGTTGGAACATTTTTTGAGAAAACTGCCAACATTTCCCCATTCATGGTCCACTTTCTAAAAAGGCCATTTATTTCTCTCTAGAATGGTGTACAAATGAGCGTTCTTGCTTATTTTGCATCCGAGATATGCGCAAAAACGGGACGGAAAACATGGAATTTTGGCATAATCTTGCACCTAAGTGTCTGATATTCAAATTTCGCTTTCTGGGTCAAAACTACTCGACTTTCCTCATTAAAGTTGTTACGACTGAATGGATTTTTCAATTCTCTATCCAACGATGCCAAAACGAATTCTGTGGCTCAAATAATTCTTGAGAAACTTCGAAAAAAGCAGCGTCATGTTCAAGTGGATTTTGCAACTCAAAGAAAACCACGCAAATCTAAAACTTCTTGAATTCAAGC